GCGCGCCCAAGATCCTGAGAGGAGAATGGAGAAGGGATTGCGATGTGGCCATCTCCCCTGGGGGGTGATTTCTTGCTTTCTGTCTCTGTCTCTGTCTGGCGAGCGCATGCACCCTATAGCAAAAACCTCTCAAAAAAAAAAAAAAAAAAGTAAGTAGCATTAATGTGGGTTGCTAACATTATTCCAATAAAACAGAAGTTAGTTTCTTACCTTGGATTTAAAAGGCATGATGAAAGAAGGCACCAATAAAATAAGACATTTTAAGCCCATGAAGAAGAATTTCAGAATAAAGTCTGTAATTCCAACAATCCAGAGTACTTCCCAGAAGCTCAAATGGTCCAAGGTAGGATTTAAAAAAATTAAGCTACAAAAAGAAAAACACCAGAATTTACCAGAGCAACATATAAAAGTACTGATAAGAGTTTTTAATTTGCTACAGATATTTTAATTGATATTTTAAAAATTGATATTTAAAAAATACGAGATGTCAGAGTTAATATAAATGGAATGGAAGATCATTTTGCTTTTTTTTTTTTTTTAAATTATTTCTTTAGTTTTATTTATTCTTCTTCAATTTGACCAGAGAGAAAGAGGGAGAGCGAGACAGCAAGTCACCAGGTCCAGGACTTGAACTGTGGTTGGCCATGTGGGAGTCCAGCATCTCAACCAACATGCCACTTGGTGACCCCCACTGTATGTGTTCTTCAAGGGGCTTTTAAAAATGTTTTGAATTTTAAAATCTTCCTTTAGAAAAAGAACAGTCTTCCTAGTTTATGATAATCGACAATTTTCTAGCCAGTATACTAAGATATTCATTAATACCAGACATCTGCCATTCTCTCAACTAACTCCCATTAGGATTCGCTCTTCCTTTTCATTGAATTGGCTTTTGTCAAAACCACCAGCTTCCCCATTTTGCTAAATTTAAAGGTTACTTTTTTTCCCATCTTTCCTTCCTAAATTATTTTTGCTCCAGACTTCTAACACCACAACTCTTCCAGTTCTCACTTGTCTTTGATGGTTTTTCCTTAATCTCCTTTGCTGCTCCTCTTCCAATGGTGGTCCTTTCTAGTACTAGACATTCTTCTCTAACAACACTTTCTTAGTTTTATCCAGCCTGGTGTGTGTTTTTTGTTTGTTTGTTTTTAGGTTGTTTGCTATAGGGTGTGTGTGCTAGCCAGAGAGAGAGAGACAGAGAGAAAATGAGGAATTGCGCCCTCCCCAGCCCAAGGGATGGCCACATCACAATCCCTTCTCCATTCTCCTCCTGGGATTAAATATACCTAGTGTATTTTCATAAATACACCTAGTGTGACTTTCAAAGTCACCAGTTCTGAGACTCGAACCACATGAGTCCAGTGCTTTAACCACCATGCCACTTGCTGGCTCCTCCAATTTGTGTTTTAAAAATATCAATCATGGGGCTAGCAGGTGGCATGGTGGTTGAGGCACTGAACTCTCACATGGTCGACCATGGTTCAAGTCCCAAACCTGGCAGCTTGCTTTCTCACTCTCCCTATCTCTCTGTCTCCCTCTGATCAAAATGGAAGGCTCTGATAATAAATAAAAATAAATAAATTAAAAAAAAAATCATATGCCAATAATTCCAAAATTTGTAGCACTAACCTCTACCCTGAGCTTATGACATATATTTTAGAAACACTTTCTAACTCTACTTAGCCTCTTAGCATTTATAAAACAAAATAATTGATTTTCTCCTCAAAACTAGTTCCTTCCCCAGTCTTCCTCAATCTAATAAAATGACACAACAACCATCTAGCCAGTTGCTCAGACTAACTAGCCAGAAATCATTCTGACTTTTTCCCACCCACCTGCCTAATCCAGTTCATCTGAGTGACACTGGCTCCACCTCAAAACTGTATCCCAGATTTATCCATTTCCCTAATTCCACCAAAACCAGGATTTCTAACTATCTAATAAAGGCTGAAAATTCCTAATACTCCCATCTGACATAGAAACTTATCAATTATTGTCTTTAGAGTCTTCTTAAATTATTAATAGGAACAGAAGACCAACAATAACCTCATGGTACTTAATAAATGTTAGTTACATAAAAACTTAGATATCAAAAAATTAAAGTTATTGATTGAGCACCTGCTAGGTGCCAACATACTGGCAATACAAATCTCAATACGTTATTTAAGTTCTCATCATGAAAGAGGAAGGTTAAAAATAAATCATAGTATAGTAATATATGCAAGTAAGATAGATGCAATATACCGTGGAATATTTGATCTCATAAAGAAGTGATGAAGTACTTGAATCTCTAATTACCTGTAATAGAGGGACTGAGAATGAAAGCTGTAATATAAAAGAACAGAAGATCCTGCTAAGAATACCAGTAGCCAAGCACACTGAATCTTTGAGGATCTTTCCTGAAAAATAAACAATTTTATGATACGTTACTTTGAATTATGCCAGAATTTTAAATATCATTAAACTATTTTACTAAATTATTAGAACATTTTCATCAGTCAATAAGTCTTAGAATACAGAACATGTTAAACTATATACCATTATCATAGTTACTCTGCCTTACATATCATTAATGAACAAAACAGAACTCTTATATTTAAACAGATTCTAAAAACACAAGTTCCTTCATTGTATGAAAAACACTGCCAATGTTTCAAAATAGTCAGATCTTCTACAAGCCAACATAAATAACCCACCCAAAGCATTTTACCTCAGTAGCTCTTTTTTTGTCTCCCCAAAAACAATCTCAAAAGAACATTTAAGTTAGTATATCTTTTCATATTCTAAGATAATTCAATAAGTAATGTTTCTTATTTCACTTTTAAAGTCAAGTATTAATCACTAGTTTAATTAAAAGTCTTATTAGTTTCAAATTATAATTAAAATATTTGTAGTTTGATAAGGTCTATAAGTTTTTAGGTGGGAATGCATGATCATTTGCACAGATATAGCCCTTTAAAGCTGCCGTAAGGTGAAATTTTGTAAGGTTATCATTTTTCCCAGTGATTTATATAATGGGGATTTTTAAGTTTCTGTTACAGAAAACTCCCTGAGTTTAATTTTATTTAAATGAAAGAGACTTACTGATGTGGTAAAGGCACTGGACTCCCACATGACTCAAAACTTCAGTTTGAGTCCCAGACTTAGCAGCTTGCTTTCTCTTTCTCTTTATCCCTGTCTCTCTCCCTGGGAAGCACATGTACCCTACAGCAAATTAAAAAAAAAAAAATTAAATGAATAATTCTTTAATAAGAGAGACCTAAATAGTTAATATATTTACTTAATGATATATTCATATTTTATTTTATTTATTTATAAATTTTTGCTATAGGGTGTGTGTGCTTGCTAGAGAGAGAAAGGGAGCAGGAGTGAGAAAGTACCTTGGGGAGGGTGGTCACATGACAATCCCTTCTCTTCCACTCTCCTCTTGGGATTTTGGGCATACAAACACATGCGCCTGGCATAATTTTCAAGCCTTTTGGTGTTGGACTAAAACCACTCACTCGGCCACGTGGGACCCAGTGCCTTAACCTGTATGCCACCTGCTGGCCCTTAGTTATTTTAAAACTTACAGTGCAACAACTAAACTTTTTTTAAAAGAATTATTTAATTTTATTGATCATCATTATTCATTTTTTAATTTGACCAGAGAGATAGAACATAAAAAACCAAGCTGCCAGGTCTGAGACTCAAACTGTGGCTAGCCATGTGGGGTAGTCCAGCACCTTAACCACCATGCGTTCTGCTGGCCTGAACAACTAAACTTTTTAATGATGATTATATTACTTAGTGTGGTCAAATTAACATAAAACATGAAGGTACTTGCCAAATCAGACCAAATAGTGGGTTCTAAATCTTTTAATTGTGTCTACTTTTTCTTTTTAAATAATTATTTTATTTAACTTCATTTATTTATTTATTTTATTTGACCAGGGAGGGACAGAGTAAGAAAGAAAGTGAAAAAGCAAGCCACCAGGTCCAGAACTTGAACCGTGGCTGGCCATGTGGGAGTCCAGCACCCTTAACCACCATGCCACCTGCCAGCCCTGTCTATGTTTTCTTTATGGAATCAAACATACAAGGAAAATAGGTGGAACAGTTCAGCATTAGGCCAGATAGCTTATTCCAGGTCATCTATATAACAAATGTAATAATGTCATGGATGTTACACTATATCCTGTTATGTCCTATTTCTCTCAGAATTATTTCTCTAAAAGTCTATAGAGAGAAACAGTTAATAATTTTTTAGTTGCTTGTTATACTTACTCTTAGAAAAACCTGATTTACAATGCTTTTGTTTGCATACATAAAAGTTGTTAGCAGCCCAATTCCAAGAGAAATTCCTGTTAGAAAATAAGTTCCAGTTAATTGAAAGAAAAAAAAAAAACCAAAGAGGACTACAATAAGGTAACAATGACATGAATTAAAAAGAAATATACAATTTTAAAAGTGAACAGAAAATAAGTAACTGAAATACATAAGTTAAAGTAGATTACTATAAAGAAATAAAATTAACTGAATTTAGCAATTTAACAAGTTAATGTTTTCTTATGCCCTACCTGTTATATGCTGCATAACAAGTTTGACACCCAGAATCAAAATATATGGAAGACTTTTTTGTAACCACTTGAAGAGATAGCGGAATTCTGAGAAGGAGCTGCTACCATGTTCTCCAGACTCAGAGGCAGTGTCATCAGGCTGCCTTGCTTCACTGTGGGAGTGACTCCGAAAGTGACTATGTACACATCCATGGGTACAGCTGTGGACACCTGACCTTATGTTTCGGGAGCTTGGATTTTCAGCACATTCTTTAGGTATGGAGTTTATCTGAATATGAACATCTCCAGCATGAAGACATGAACCTTCTCCTGTCAATCTTGTGTGGACACACTGGGAGGCTGAGGCATCCTCAATGCCTGCAGTTCCTGGAGGACTGTGCAGTTGGCTACAGTGGGCTTGCATGGCCCTGTGTACTTGTTCTCTGATGCCGATCTGTTTGTTTCAGGGCTCTGTCTCCTAAAAGATTCAAAAGCAGGAAATACTCTAATTGAACAGTTAAATACGGGCAGTATACTGCTCACTAGGTAACCTTTATTCACCGAAGGCGTGGATGATAATCACAGCAGATGAATTTGATTCTGTCTTACAGCAGAGCCTTGGCCTTAAGGGAGCAGGGAGGGGTCTAATAATAAGAGAACAGCTGCTACAAAAAAAGAGAGTCTTAGGCCAGATAGCTTATTCCAGGTCATCTATATAACAAATGTAATAATGTCATGGATGTTTCACTATATCCTGTTATGTCCTATTTCTCTCAGAATTATTTCTCTAAAAGTCTATAGAGAGAAACAGTTAATAATTTTTTAGTTGCTTGTTATACTTACTCTTAGAAAAACCTGATTTACAATGCTTTTGTTTGCATACATAAAAGTTGTTAGCAGCCCAATTCCAAGAGAAATTCCTGTTAGAAAATAAGTTCCAGTTAATTGAAAGAAAAAAAAAAAACCAAAGAGGACTACAATAAGGTAACAATGACATGAATTAAAAAGAAATATACAATTTTAAAAGTGAACAGAAAATAAGTAACTGAAATACATAAGTTAAAGTAGATTACTATAAAGAAATAAAATTAACTGAATTTAGCAATTTAACAAGTTAATGTTTTCTTATGCCCTACCTGTTATATGCTGCATAACAAGTTTGACACCCAGAATCAAAATATATGGAAGACTTTTTTGTAACCACTTGAAGAGATAGCGGAATTCTGAGAAGGAGCTGCTACCATGTTCTCCAGACTCAGAGGCAGTGTCATCAGGCTGCCTTGCTTCACTGTGGGAGTGACTCCGAAAGTGACTATGTACACATCCATGGGTACAGCTGTGGACACCTGACCTTATGTTTCGGGAGCTTGGATTTTCAGCACATTCTTTAGGTATGGAGTTTATCTGAATATGAACATCTCCAGCATGAAGACATGAACCTTCTCCTGTCAATCTTGTGTGGACACACTGGGAGGCTGAGGCATCCTCAATGCCTGCAGTTCCTGGAGGACTGTGCAGTTGGCTACAGTGGGCTTGCATGGCCCTGTGTACTTGTTCTCTGATGCCGATCTGTTTGTTTCAGGGCTCTGTCTCCTAAAAGATTCAAAAGCAGGAAATACTCTAATTGAACAGTTAAATACGGGCAGTATACTGCTCACTAGGTAACCTTTATTCACCGAAGGCGTGGATGATAATCACAGCAGATGATTTGATTCTGTCTTACAGCAGAGCCTTGGCCTTAAGGGAGCAGGGAGGGGTCTAATAATAAGAGAACAGCTGCTACAAAAAAAGAGAGTCCAACGTCAGATGTTCTCTAATGAGGGGCACTGGGAGAACAGTTACTAAGTATAGGTGCCCAGCAGATGTTAACGTGGATACCAGTACCTGGTACATTTTCTCTGCCAAATTGGAGCAGTTTCATATTGGAGACATGCTGAACATCAAAGAAGTTTCATAAGGAAGAGTTGAGTCATTATTTTTTAGTGCTTGGAAATACTAGGGAGATACAAGTATTCAATCTTAATGCCTGATTAACTATCATTACAGATAATAATAAACATTTCATTCAGGTGACCTACAAGTTTTGTTAGATGATGAAAAAGCCTTCCCAAAGCTCATAAGGCGTAATAATTAATGGTGCTACCTAGAAATACTACCTCCCCTCTAAAAAGCATGTTTTCTAAGTACCTTTAAAATAGAGATACTCTAGGGAGTCACCATGTAGTTGTAGGTGACTTAAATCTCAATAAGGATAGTTACACAGCCTGCCCAGTAAAAACGCCAACGTTAGTGGTGTGTGTGTTCCGGGGAAGGGCGGGGAAAGGGGCACTGGCAGGGGAAGAATCCCTCAAGGACCTAGAGTGGAGTCCCAGCTGAAACGGGGAGCCTGTCCCAGACTGCCGTGCCTTTCCCGTTTTCCTAGGAGATAGCTAGAGTTAACGTCAGGGCACGTTCTCTGTCCTACCTCGTTTCTAGTTTTTGAATAGTGTTGTAGTTACTGCTGTGGCAGTTTAGGTTTTAAAGCATTTCACTTAAAGGCTTTCTCCGAGGCTCCAACGCCACGAACTCTACTTCCTCAAACCTCAGAAGAGTTGAGTTGGACATGGCAGTTTCCCAGTGTCTTTCCTATAAATAAAACCATAGCGCCCTCTCTTAATGTACAGACAAGAAAGAGAAGGAAAGAGAAGGAAACAACAGCTCCTCCGGAATCCCCGAAGACAGTTCCCCACCCACGTCCGAGTCTCAAGTGTCTCAGGTTCCCCAGAGCCCCTGTGTCGCGGCCCCTCGCCGCCTCCTTCGCCCGCATCCCCCATGCCTGACCTCTCATGACCAGGAGCGGCCGGAGATCTCGGGAGCAACAGCAGGAACAGCGGCACCCGCCGCCTCGGGCCGGTCAGCCAGAGCCATCACCCTCAAACCCCCGAGACCAGCAACTCCGACCAGGCGACGGCGGCGCGCGCGCTCCC